TGTAATCCATGATCGTAAATGTTTGTTTTGTTTTGTTTTGTAATCATGATTCGAATTTTTGTTTTGTTTTTTTGTAACCCATGATAGAGTTTTTTGTAATCCATGATTGAATTTTTTGTAATCCTACGATCGAATGTTTTTTCTTTTTTGCAATTCCATGAGGGAATTTTTGTTTTTTATGTTTTTTTTTTTGTAATCCATGATCGAATTTTTTGTAATCCATGATCGAATTTTTTGTAATCCATGATTGAATTTTTTAAAAATTTGTGATTTTTTTTTTTAATCCATGATCAAATATTTTTTTGTAATCCATGATAGAATTTTTTTGTGATTTTTTTTTAAATCCATGATCGAATTTTTTTTGTAATCCATGATAGAATTTTTTGAAAATTTGTGATTTTTTTTTTTAATCCATGATCGATTTTTTTTGAAAATTTGTTAAATTTTTTTTAATCCATATTATTCAAAGAGAAAGTGAGAGAGATGATGATTCTGAGGCCACCCTATCCCAGCCATATTATTCACATATCGAGTCCCAACAGCAACAGTGTAGGGATGAGCACAACAGTGCAGGTGAGTATGAAGGATGGACAAGCTTCGGGGATATTGGATTGGGAACACAACAAAACACTAACACTGAGAGATTTGGGAATAGTCAGACGCCTGCTAATATCGATGATTCGTTTTTAGATCGAATCAATGAATTGTTAAACGCATTCAATCAATGGCACTAGCGTGACCAAGAAGAACAATAACGTCGTCTATCATTTTATTTTTAGATCATATGTTACTAATTTTATGCTTTATTGTAGTCCATGTATGTTGATATACTTATTCCATGATAATTCTATGTTTATCCTTTTGTGTGATGTAAATTAAATGCTGAATGGCGGTTCATGCAGGGAAAGAACATATCAATATTCGCATATTCATTCAAAAACATGAAAATTCTTAATGGAGTACCCTCATTTTTTATTGAATTCCTAAAAAACAATATTTATAATGAATTTTAATAAATTTTTCGGATTTTTTTTAATCTTTATTCTGACCGATTCACTCGATTCCCGATCCGGATCGCCGATTCGCCGATCCGGATCGGTTTTTTGAGTGCCCGGTCCGGGTCACCGATCCGTTTTTAAACCATTGGTAACTATAGATGATTATTTAAAAAAAAAAAAAGTCGAGTTCTTTAACGTATAGATCGTGTATGAGATCTAAATGATAGTCCTGGTGCAAGTTTTACTCGGGGGAGTAGATGGACAGTACACTCCTATGGGAGTAGGTAATCGTTTGGCATAAAGAGCGGGCCAAGTGAAAATGAAGCCTAGCCAGGGTGAAATGCTTTCTCTCTCTCGATGACAAGGGTACAAGGGGCTGGCTATGACCCTTTTATTTGTTACGCAAAAGAAAGCCTTTGGCTTCCTCTTATTTATCGAGTTTGAGTCTCATTAAAGGTCGGACGGAGTGGATTAAAGAGGAGAAAGTGATGAATCCTCTAATAAGTGTCTTGTATCATATAAGGACCATTGTTTCATACGGGCTGGATCGCATTTCTAAATATGCGGCCCAAAAAGTGGAAAGCATCCATCTTAAATATGGATGCAAGTAGGTGGTTTTTAGATGGCAACTAACGGTTCAAATGTTTTTTTACTAGAATTGTTATTTTTAGCTTTTAAAATTTATTTATTTATTAATATTCATGATCTTCATGTTAGAGATTACATATCCTTAAAAAATTTAGTCTTAAAATTCATCTCAAAAATAGATTTATTAAGAGGTCCACATTTCTATATATGCAGGCTTGGTCGCATAGAAATCGAGTCCAATTAATAATTCGATAGTATAATTACTCACCTAAAAGTCAAAAAACTTGAGAGCATAATACAAAAAAAAAAGTACGGCAAGTACTTAGACCTTGGTATGATTTAAGGGATGAAATTGAGTGCTATTTTATAGTTTTGAGTATATTTCAATACTCAAAAGGATTCGAAGAATAACTATTTATAAGTTGAGAGATATTACATTTTTATCATGGGATGCTCATGTTCTATTATGCAGTAAATTAAAAGATGTAGCATGTTAAAGCACATCTTTGGATTCCTAATTATGGAGACCTTTTTAGGACTCATTTGATAAGCTTTTATATCGTGCCATGAGTATGGTTTATTATGATAAAACTTCAGAGAGAAGTAATATAGAGTTGGTGAGATAAGACAATCTATATGAAGAATATTCAATCTGGGAATAGTAGAAAGAAGAAAAAACACAATACCTATAAAAGCATATTGGTTTCTTCAAAATGAAGGGTTACATAGAGAGACTTAGTAGTAGCAAAGGAACGCTAAAGATCAATGTAAGAATCAAATTTATGATAGTTTGAAATGATGGGATGAAAAAGAGCATTTCTTCACGGTGTGAGACAGGAAGAATCTAAGATGGATACTTTGTGATATGTGAAACTAGTTGCGTGTTCTTCCAAGATCACAAAATCTTATCAAACAAATAAAAACAATAAATCAAGAAAGCTCAGGTACCACACTACATGGTTTTAAGGTATGAAATCTGTCCCACATTATATGGTAAGGTTTTATAGAAAAAGAGGATTCAATAACTTTTTATTGTGTTCAATATACTTTAGTTATATTTTGGCTAATTGTTTTATGAATATGTATGGAGTGTATGGACATTAATTGATATGTGCTAACAAATTTAAAAGAGCCGATTTATGAATACCTTATGTTTTAGTGCTTCTTTGTACTAGAGTATGAACTACTGAAGGTAGTGATACATATGGAAATGTGATTTGATCAAGGACGTTGAGCCATAAGGGTGAAACACAAGAGATGAATGTGACTCATTTAAGTATGTAAACACGAAGGGAGTGTTCTGATAGAACTCGATCTTAATGACCAACCTCTCAATAATGTCTATAATATGATGTATTGCATGTGATGATGATCTCTTGATAAAATTTCCATATTTGCCAAAGAGTAATGATCCTATAGGACCCTTCCCCACTCATGTGTGTATGACCCTAAAGGATCACCATTTAAGTTGGCACATATCTCTAGAAAAGTTATCATATGGGTGTGGGACTTGACTTTTCTATAGATCCGTGCCAAATTTAATGGTGATCTTTTGGGGTTTTACACACATGGGTGGGGGAGGGTCCTATAGGATCATTTTTCTTTGCCAAAATTGAAATATTTTGTCAAGGTTTTAATAAATATTTTTTAGTCATGCTTTATTTTAGATAAAATTATAAGATGGTAATTATGATTTGTTTTTGTGGCCATGAACTTGACTTGGTAGGAAATTAAAAGTGAATGCGGTACAATGATTTATGAAGGCTAAGCATGTATTTTAAAATTAAAATTGGATGATTTGAGAAAAACCTAAGTCTATGAATATGGTTTTGAGAAAATCACATAGTCTTACAAGGTCCACTAAGTCTTTATGAAAATCATTTTAAACTGTAATACTATTATATAACTATTGTTTGTGAATATATATATATATATATATATATATGAAAAAAATCTTCCCAACACCTATAGGCGAAAATGAACAGTGATTTTGCCTACCCTCTTTACTATCAAAAGTTTATCGTACGGTCACGA